TAATCTGTGAGTCAAGTCTAGCATCAACAACTTGGGTTCTCTGACCTTTATCATCATATCTACCATATTGTGCAGAAGTGCCAAGATGGACGTCTGTATCGGGCGTAAGCTCTCCAAAAGGCACTGGGGACCTTGTATGGCCAATGGACGTAGAAGTGCCATGGTGCTCAGTTGCCTGTGAACCTCCATCTAATCCAGTTTGGACGGTGGGTTCAGGTGATCGGTATCTACGACGTCTACCACCGTCATGCTGACCTCCATGAACATTCCTAGGAGCACGTTGAACACACCACGGGTCTGCTAGTTGTGGAATGGCCTGTGGTACTCGTGGAAGGCGAAATGCAAGTCGGGATGACTCCCCCACATGATTCAATGTTATGGATGCAAAGTCCTTTATTGCATTAAAATAATTACTGTGCTGTTCGTCACTATGTGATAGAGAGTCCTCAGTCATGTAATACACCTGAAACATAGCATCCATCTGGAGTGTAAATATAGGCATGAATAAGGATAATTAGAGTTACATCTTAGAAATATTGGTACAAGAAGTATTAATATTTGGTTAAAAGTTAGGAAAAACTTACAAGATATTGTACTCTAGCGCTATCGCCCTGAATATCCTCCGAAAAAATGGGATGTCTAGTAGGATTTGAAATATATAGAACCGTCCGCTCGCGATACCACTGACGATACTCGTCTGATGGATAAGTAGGATCTTCAATTACAGCACCCTCGTCTACATGCATATGTCGATCAGTCCACACATCAATATATGCTGTATGCGTAGTTATCCAATATTGATTCCCCTTACTACGACGATCTAGAGAATGTAGTGCTGCTTGATTTTCAGTCAATTTAAAATCAGGCAAGGGCTGATGATATCCAAATTGTCGCATAACCCTATGAGGAAGATGTGGCTCGACAACCTCCCAACATATGAGATACGTGACAGATCTCCAAATATCGCGTCCTCTAGTACAATATAAAGGCAGAGAATCGAGAACATCCTCCGAATATGACTGCCATATGAACAGCAACACAATAATTAGTCGACAACATACAACAACCCAATGGTACTTAATAATTATCGGAGTACATAAATTTTTAGAAAATTTCGGCAGCATCTCCCCTATAACAGGACAAAAACTCCCTGCCAAACAATTTATTTTGCCAAGAACAAGCATCATCTTATATATGTCCAACTGACATTGATCAATTTTAAGTATTTCCTCAGATATAAATAAATTAGAACAATGACAATTACATCAATATTGGCCAATACGTGACTGTACCTGAAGATTACCTAGGCCTGTCAACTGATCTCGAAATATGGATACAACATGTCTTGTTACTCTGTGTAGATCAAATTAAATATTCCACCTGCATACAATAAATCATGACTTATCATCAAAGAGTACAATTTGATTCGTATTGTCATTTTGCATCATATATATTTGATATACATACCGAACTCCATATGGACCAGGATAGTGCTCTAACAGTTGCACTCGATCAGGGCGCATTGTAGGTATGCGTTTCAACGCCCATAGCTGAAAAAAGTTAAATTTGAATATGTTAACCGACATTGTAGTAATCTTATAGTTAAATTTAGTCGAGATACCAATTAGGGTATTGTACATGTAGCAAAACTAATGGTCCTGTAATAGCTGATCTAGAGGGAGAAGTTGCGATGCACAATGATCGATACAGAGTCGCTAAAATCGCACTATCCCAATTATATTGCCCAACAGTTTCCAAATCTCGTAATAATGACATATACAGTAGCGAGACTTTATTACCGAATTTATCGAACAATAAGTGGCCCCCTAACATCAGAAGAAGGTATATGGGAGCCCACTGTCTACATTGGACATCCGAAGCATCCAGTGGCAGCTCTATATCTAATACTCTAGATAAACACCCCAATTTGAGTCGTTGTCCATCAAAATCTGACATCAAAGGCTGAAAACCAATCAACTCCTCACACAAATTCCTCCAGTTCTCAACACTACGAGATGTATCTATCCCTATAATTGAAGGACTATCTATGGGTAGATCTCACAGGACCTCTACATCCTGTAACGTAACCGTAGTCTCTCCAACGGGGAGGTGAAATGTATGAGTCTCGGCTACCATCGCTCCACTAAACTAGTGATCAAGGCATGATCAAGCATCATATATCCACATTCTAATATCCCTTCAAAATTCGCCAATCGAATATACTGCCGAACAGTTTCGGAGATAGGTGTATGCTCCCAAAAACCCCTATCACATCTTCTAACATCAAGCTGATCACCCAAAATATGACCGTGAAATAGAGAATGTACCCAGTGTGCAGTACCTGCTGAGATAATATCATACACAAATGACCCTGGATGCAAGTCTGGCTGTATAGGAATGTTTACCATACCGAAAATAATAGCTGCAAGTTGCATAGGTAATACATAATGTGACGCTCCAAAAGGATGAGTGCGAGAACCCGAAAATTTTCTAAGTTTCTAGGGTTTATTTTATTGTTCGCCCGCTTTTTCGACATTTTCTTTATTAGAAAATTTTCCAGATAATTGTATTGAGTAAATATAGTTTTAGATGATTTTTCTAGTATCAGTTAGTTTTTGAGAAATTAAGAATATATATCGGACGTGGAACCCACTAGTGCGGAAAGTTCGGTAAAATTCGGCCAGTTAGGTTAAGTTTTGGATACCGAATTTATTTTATCAGGTGCTAAGAGATAATTAGAGGTTGTTATATGGATGAGAGTGGAGAGACAAAAGGATAATTATAAGTCAAAAGAGATGCTAGGTGTCGCGTTTTCATTGGACCTTGGTTTTGACCACTATTCACCAACTTTACTAAATACCAAAAATTGACCAAAATGAGCTTCATTTTTCCTTGCTCTTGGCCGGCCATGGAGGAGAGAAAGAGAGAGAGAGTTTCTTCAATTTTCCTTCATTTCTAGCTTGAATCTTACAAACCTACCGGTTAAATTCCAAATTTCTCCATAAAAGTGAGTTGCTAAGCTAGTTTAAGGTGTTGAGTGGAGCCATTTGTGAAGAACAAGCTCTAGTTGTCTTGTTTCTTGGAGTTGCAAAGGTGAGATATTAAATATCTTCCCTCTCATGCTAATAATGATCAATTAAGAATTTCTAGTGGTAGAGCATGTCATTTTATGGATGATTTCATGACCTATGGGTGAGATTGATGGATTTTTCTTTTGTTCATGAATTTTTCTGATTTCATATGATTGTTATGGTGTGGCTATGTATTATGATTGGAAATGATCTAGAATGAAACTAGAAGATGGAACGATTGAAATGTTACTTGTGCATGAATGTAAGCCTTTTGGCTGAACTGGCCACTGCCCCTTGTTACCGATCGACTCGAGCCAGAAGCGGACTCGATCGGGCGATATGGTGACCTGGGTGAACGTTTGGTATACTCGAGTATTACCTTATAGGTTGGTGGAGGTTGGTGGAGCCTGGCCAATGTCCAGGAAAGGTTGAATGAACGAACGAACGAACGAGGGTTTTATTGATAAATGAAAAATGCATTTTCAAATGAATGAAGGAAAGGGGAATGACAGGAGAACGAACGAATGAACGAACGAACGTATCCTTTTCATGTATGGTTTCTTGTAAATGTTGTAATTATTTCTTGACTTATCGTTTGATATATGACATCATTGAAATGAACTATTGTGAAACCGATTTGATTACTGATTTTACTGGTTACTCGCTGAGCTTCTAGTTCACCCCAAAAATATTTTATTCCCCTCCACAGGGCTCAAGGCGAAGGAAGGACTTGTAGTACTTATTCACGTGACTGGATGGCTTATTTGGAATTGTTTCCGCTTCGCTTATGACATGTAATTATTGAAAAATTTGATGTATATTTGAGATTTATCTTGTAATTTATTTGAGAACTTTAGTGAACGACTGAGTTCTGGCGAGAGTTGGGCAGGCAACCCGCCGAACCCTTTGGTTCGCCTTAGGGGGAGGTGGGGCTGTCACACATAAGACTACACGCATTTGAATAGTATAATAGTAACTCTTTAATAATTCATACTATACTGACTTTAGATATGCGAAACTGCTCAAAATAAATCAAAAATATAATATCATGAAAATATAGCAACAAAATGTATCGTATATAATATACTAATTTCATAATGCCAGCCAAATGGTATGGGTACAATGAATTCGCTGTCTAAAATGCGAATTCAAACTCTAAAATTAAGACAATTTCTTCTATTGTGACCCGACTGATGACAATTTGTACATTTTCTTGGTTCCTCTGGATCTCTCTCATCCATTTCATTCCTAATTCTTCTACCTCGTACCATTCCCACCCGATGTGCAACATATTTACTTCTATCTGCCTGTAACTTCCAATTTGGTTGGAGCCAAGTATTGTGGTGTGGCAAAGGGTTAAACCTTCCTGAATACTGCACCGCCCACCGCCTTTTTTGTAAATTGGGGATCTACAAGCGTTCCTGGATTATCTTCTCGATGCCTGTACACGGCCATCACGTGCGAACAGGGAAGTCTGTAGCACTGCCACTTACCACATGAGCATGTTTTTTCAAAATATTTGACCGTTTGTGTATTACCCCCTTTGCCATCCACACGTCGGCCAGTCACAACTTTATACACCCCGGATGAGCCATCGAACTCAACAACCCTGTGGAGTCCCGCTTTCTGATCCGAATTCCTAAACCGCCACCATATCTTTGGAGGAAATAAATTACGGCAATGTCTGGCATTCTCTCTTCTAGTTTTAAACAACTCAACTGTCCGATGAAATGTCATATCAATACAAACCCCAATAGATAAATGACGTGCTCCTCTAAATACATTGTTATAACTTTCGGATATGTTGGTTGTAAGAATACCCCAACGAATGTCTGCGTCATGCGTTAGACACCACTTTTCGGTTTCAATGTTAGACAAATAAGTCCATGCGTCTGGAAACATGCTCCTTAATTCTCGTTTGAATGCCCGTCACTTGCGCAATTGTCTGGCTCTTCCCATTGCCCAACACAACCTTTTAAGGTGCAGGCCTTTGAAGTGAGTCATTAGGTTACTCCGAACATGTCGTAGGCAAAATCTATGAAAGGCCAAAGGTTCTTGCCAATAGTCAAAATGTGTCATGGCATGAATGATACCATTATGCCGATATGAAATGACACAAATAGGATACCGATCACGGGTCACATGGTATCTAAATTGCTCCATGAACCAAGACCAACTGGAAATAGTATCTTCGTCGACAATGGCATAAGTTATCGGAATAATTTGGTTGTTGGCATCTTGCGTAACTGCAACAAGTAATTTGCCTTTATATTCGCCACGCAAATGAGTGTCATCAACACATATAACCGGTCGACACATGTGAAATGCATCAATAGCCGGTCCAAAAGCCCAGAAGACATACTTGAATGTCTTCATTTGATCCGTACTATCAGAATGGTGTAACCACCTGATCACAGATCCCTGATTTGACTGCATAAGTGCATCAACATATTTTGGTAGTTCAGCAAAATTGGAATCCCAAGAATCAAATACAAGTTCGATAGCTTTACGTCTGCCGTACCAAACCTTTTTATAAGAAACATCCACCTTCAGAACTTCCTTAATATGACTTACTATGTTCTTAACTTTATACCCAAGATCATCTTCAATGCTATGAACTATGTGTCTAGCAATAACTGCAGATGTAAGGCTAGCATTGTTATTACTCATCAAATCACCTAGACAATTGTGGTCGCTCACCCATTTGGTTATTTGCCACAATCCATGTGTCTTTTTTTCACTGCTCGGACACACCAGTCGCATGGAGGATACGATGAGTCGACTGCAGTGGTAGTGCTCCTTTCAAGTGCAGATTTACATTTGACAACTCAGGTGTTACTCTTACTCTTAACAACCCTGAATTCCCTATTATGATTGATAGACCACATTCTAATAGCCCTGCTAAGGCTGTTGTTTGCTCTCAAATCTCATATGGAGTCGTATATTATTATTCTCCTCACTGAATGTCACAATGCGCTCCAACTCACTTTCATCAGTGAGTTGATCGTCATCATCTATGTTTCCAAGGTTAGAGAAGAATTTTAATCCTCGTGGAGCATATGAGAGGTTGCCAGATGCATCAAAGGGCTGTTGGTTCTCGAGATCCTGGTGGACTTCACGTCGTTCATTTTCGCCATCTGAGTCACTGCTTGACACATCTACGGATTCAGATTCTTCTACATCTTCTATATCATGCTCCGATCATCATCTAGGAATGTGTTACAGTGACTTGGACCAGCAGTAGTATTGAAGCCATAACAAGCAACATGATTCGGCGATTCTGGATCTCTAAAACTTTGAATCGAGTCAAGACCTTCAACAGATTCAACATCCATTCTAAAGCCTGATGTAAGCCGTGGCTCTACTGAGTCCCTAACACAATCTCCATGTGGCAATTGTGATACCGACGCTGTCTCTGGTACTACTGTACTAGAGTACGATCGAAATCTTGTTGGATCCATGCATGCATGGACAAGCGACATCATCGGTCCAAGATTGGTAGTTGGTGGAATGAATATGCTACTGACTCGAGAATTTTGGACTATTTCCTCCTTCTCGATATAAAGTTCGACTATGTATGGGATAATTTCGTTCCATACATCATACATTATCTCCAGAGTTTCATCATCCACCACTGGGGAGACATTATAAGAGCTACGGCCACAAGGTTGGCGGAGAAATAAATTTAACTTGAACAGCCCTCTATCGACCCCCATATATTGATAAATTCTATCCACCAGCTCATCATAGCCAATTCTATTCCGTAATGAGAATGTACGGTTGGAGGTATGAAGCAAGTAACAAATTGACCCATCTTCGTAGTGTATTTTACCTCCCCAATAAAGAGACACTCGCAGAGGTCTTTCTATAGACATATGTGCGAAAATAATTCCTATTTTGGGAAAAATAAATTAGAATTAGTAGTACAAGACTATGTAACAAATGACAATCCCTACATTTTTAGAAGTTAAAAAGGGGTACAATGGATATATTTATCATTTTGCATGTGCGTTTAAGGTACAAATTAGTAAACAAATGATGTAGTCTGCATATTTGTTGATGAGAATATAAAGACCAAGGCCCATTCAAGCACATGGGGAATTGGAAGATTCAAGTGAAGACTAGTTGATTGCACGAATGCTTGAGTTTAGTAGGATTATTTGATTTTCCTCGTTGATTTTGGTTATTTCTCGTTTTAAAAAGTCTAGGTAATTAAGATAGTTTAATTGCGGCCAATTTGTTAGTAAGTAAGGCCCAAAATCTTTCTTAAGTATGTAGGGTAGTTTGGTCAACCTTTGGATTAGGGTTAATGCTTGTAAGGGCTATAAATAGCCCCACTTCCTCTTTGTTTTGGGAGCAATTTTTTGACTATTAAATACAATTAGTGAGTTTTCACTTTCTCTTTGGCAAGAGAGTTGCCTTTGAATACTTGAGAATCTTCTCAAGTTATTCACCCGAACTTATCAATCGAGTATCTCCTTGATTGTGGCGTTCTACTACCTCCAATTTGGTTCGTTAATTCAAGTAGTTACGGGTTGAGATAATATCAAAATTGTTCGTGACTTCTAGGGATTAGTTGGGTCAAATTTCCGCTGCCTAAGCCATGGAGTTTTGGTTGTCTAGATCGGGGTTTCACATCATTTGTCCTTTTTACTTTTTCCCAAAACATTTCTCATTTTTTCCGAAAACACTAACCTCGCATTTGTCAAATGTGATGTCTATGAACTCACATTTCACAAATGCGAAGACCCTAATGTTAGAACTAACTTCAAAAATTGCCCCCCTTGTAGAATAACTTTTTTTTTCATCACAATTTTAGAATTTTCTCTAGATATAGGAGCTAGTAATATCATATTAAAAAAGCACTTAGTACCAATAAAATACCACAAAAAGGCTAAGAAAGTAAGGGTACCACGACAAATGGATGGAACAACATTTAAAATCCGCGACCACAGTGAGGCGCGAATTGAAAAACTGCAAAAAATTGTAAAACTTGACCACAATACGTGACCACAAGGTCGAGTATTGGTGGGCGTGTATTACAATCCGCGGCCAATACGAAGAAAACGCAACACACAATATGCGACCTCATGGTTGTGTATTGTGTGGTCGCGTATTATTATTTATGTGTGATTCTGTCCACTACTGATTTGCCAAACCCATAATAATGCAAGAAAATTTACCACTTAATTACCCAAAAAAATTGCAACAAAATAGCACAACCCACATGATATTTACATTCAAATTTGACATCAAATCTAAACTTTGCATCACATTCAAGTTTTAACTAAATAGAAAATGCATAAGAATCAGACTTTGCAACAGAAATTCATACCTTTTATGCTGTTTCTGATGGGTTCGGAAGGAGCAATTCTTTTAAGCTCCGAAATTTGCTCAAAACTCTACAATGGCGCCCTCCAATTCCGACGAGGAAGATGCACCAAGGTGGATTTTCGTCTGCCGATCCTGGAAGCTTCAACTGCTGTCTAGCTCAGCAAAGGAGAAGAGAGAGTGAGCTGGATGGAGATGATTTTGTTCCAATTTATGCCGGCTGTTCGTTTGTAAATGAGCACCAGATTTGAGGGAGAAGAGTGAGCAAAAGATTTGAAAATTACAGTCTTCAGCGGGGCTGTTTGTGGATTGGCAGATTAAGTACCTCGCACTTCAAAAATGCGAGGTACGGCAACCTCATTTTTTTTTTTTTTCCAGAGACTAACCTCGCATTTGTGATATGCGAAGTCTGGAAACTCGCATTTCACAAATGCGAAGATCACATTTTCAGACCTACCTTCTAAAATAACCCCATTGTAGAACAACTTTTTTTTTTCATAACAGTTCAAGAATTTTCTCTATCAAACACACTACTCACTGCTGTTTCTTAAAGTAAGAGCAAAACAAATGCTTCAATGACATTCAAGTGAAAAGAGGGGGGCGGGAGAGAGGAATTGGGTAAGAAGTTTGGCGTTGAATTCGTTCGTCTTTTTAATTTTAATAACGAGTACTTGCCATATTTCCGACATCTACCCGGACGTCAATGGAATGGACATTCATCCCAAAGCAATACTATACCATTGGCCATTGGGGATAATTTCTTGATTTTTATTTCACGGCACTAATTTCTTGATTCCATCGGCAGCGCCCAATGAAACGTTTAGGGCAATTCAATTCATCCCGCCAACATCGAACGGGAGGGTTTATCGCTTAAACCCTAACAAAAAGTAGGAGCAGTAGATTTCTCCATTATGTTCGATTTTTCGTGCTCGTAACTCGGTCTGACTCTCACTCTCAATTCTCCTCTGAAAACCATAACTGAAACCAAAGCTCATATAGCAACTCAAGATGAGCTTCGCAGCGTGCAAGATGATGCACCCTCCCACCGGAATCGACAACTGCGCCTCCGGCTTCATTACTCACTCCGTCGCCGATTTCACTCCAAAATTCCCTCCAATCCAAACCGACGATCTGGACTCGGACTGGCCCTCTACTCCCAAGCCCATTGGCCCCCTCCCCAATCTCATTCTCACTTCGGCTAATGTTCTCGAGCTTTACACCCTTAGGCTTCTAGAGGAAGCTTCTTCCAGAGACTCCAAAACGCCCATTGAAGCCCAACGGGGCGGCGTCCTCGCTGGTATCTCTGGCGCTTCTCTAGAACTCGTCTGCCATTACAGGTCCACTTCCAAACTAAACATAACTCTGAATTGCACATCATCATTTGAAATCATCTTATTTTCTAAAGACATTATTGCACCCAATTTCTTTGTTTCTTTCTTATTATTTACTCATTGTAGACTGCATGGCAATGTGGAGTCCATGGGGATTTTATCATCGGGAGGCATTGATGGTGGGAAGAGGAGGGATTCAATTATCCTAACTTTCCAAGATGCTAAGATGTCAGTTTTGGAGTTTGATGATTCTATTCACGGGCTACGCACAAGGTCAGTGAAAAAAATATTCACGAATTGAAGTTGCTGTTGTTTCTCCTACACCTAAGACGAATTGGAACCGAGGCAAAACTGCATTCAAAGGAGTCAAATTTTAGATGATTTTCTACTAATAACAGTACTTAATTGTCGCTCACTGTATCCCGATGGTTAGATCTCCTAGAATGCAACTTGAATTACCCTAGTGGTGAAGTTCCGTTATATATCCTTTCATCTTGCTTTAAGCAAATTGCGCAAAAACTGTGCTGGCCAATTTGTTTGGACAGGGTGTTATTTGAAATATTATTTGGAATAATTACTGTAGCACTTTTTGTGATGTGATGTATGCGAGATAAAAAGTTGGTTGGGAATATAAAAAGGTGAGTTGGGAAATGTGTTTATGATGCAAGCGAAATATTATTTGGAATAATATTGTCATTCAATTACAGTTTTTTGGCTACTCAATTTTTTTTTTTGGGCAAATACTTGACTGGTGTTTGCTTTAATATAATTCTACAATCAAGAATGTCAATTGATGCATGATTTTGAATGGCAAGTAACAGTACTTGATGCTTTGTTTCTCTTTTCCAGTTCACTGCACTGTTTCGAAGGTCCAGATTGGCACCATCTTAAAAGAGGTAGAGAATCTTTTGCCAGAGGTCCATTAGTGAAGGTTGATCCGCAGGGAAGGTGTGCTGGAGTTCTTGTTTATGGTCTACAAATGGTCGTGCTCAAGGCTGCTGAGGTTTGATTTACTGCTACCATCCTAGTTTACCTTTCCATGCTCATTTTGTTCCTTTTATGGAATGTATTAGTATTCTGGAAATCCAATTGTAATAAGCT